ATTTCGGAAATACTTTTGGATTCTATGGGCACGAAAAAAGTGAAGAAAGAAAAAGTAGAAAATCAACAAAAGAAAGAGTGAAAAATCCTTACAAGTAAACTATATTTTAATATTTCTCTAAAGATTAATGAAAACAAGCATACTATGGTGGTCAACAATCCAATCGGTTTGGTTCAGTTGTCGTCGTCTTTTTAATAAGATTTGGTCCATGGAAAAGCCATAATTTAATATTTGCCTGCTACAATTGACCGATCACATGGCCTTAGCTTTTACGAAGAAGCTCCAATTGTCCAAGTTGGCCCCTTATTACTCGATAGACATCAAGTGATGCTCTTATATTTTCGTATATTTTTCGCTGCTGTTAATTTAATTCTGATAATTTTTCTTCACCACGAGTGCTGTGATGTTTCGATAATAAATAAATAAATAGATTAAAACACAAGTATTATCTTTGTGTTTTTTATTTGCACATTCACACTATTTAGGGTTAGCAATTTGTATTCAAATTGCATAAACGTCAATTTTTTTTTTTTCGGTTACAAGGAGGGCCGAAGCCCAAGGAAAAAAAAAACCAAAAAGATAACTACACTGGGACAAGCCTAGCAGTGGTCATCCTAACAGAGTAAAAAAAAACCATAAACGTCATTTTTAAATGGCGAGTCTCCTTTTCTTCACAAGGAGAAGCATGTTTAACTAAAGCTTCATTTGGTTTAGTTTTTATTCTTTTATGGTGGAAGAGAAGAAGCTAATCTTTGAATTTTGATGCACGTCGCGTTTGGATACGTTTGGGTAGTAGGTGTCGGTCACACTCATATAATTTTTAACATTCCAAAAAAAAGGACCACATTCATGTCTTTGTACAATTGCAGCATTGCACTTTTGACTTTGTTTACTCAACTACTTTCAAGTCATTAATCAACAATTAAATACACGATTAAGTTAATTTTATATCCGAATTTTGGACACAATTTATTTTTATCTTGGTGCAATTCGGGGAAACAAAAACAAACGTCTAACTTTCATTTATATACAACATTTTCATTACACATGAGTTCCTTAATTTGGTCAACGGCATACATAAATCATCATCCCGTCCAAGTTGGATGATCATTAATTATCATGCAATAGATTAGGTTCCATTTCATTAAATGTAGACCAAAGTTGTGTTAAATTTATAGAGGAATTTTATTTTATTTGTAATTTTCAACAAAGGTTCCATTTCATCCACTTGTTTAATCAGGTTTTAACAGTAGATACAGGCTTCGCCTGGAGAAGAAGACAATACGGAAATTCATAACATTCCAAAGCATGTCAGAAACAATTCCCAGAAGGTAACCCACATGGCGCCGGTATCCACGGGCCTTCCTTTTATGCCTTAGTTTGACAATTATTCCAGTGTTTCATTTTATCCTCCTCGCTTTGCTATTGTTGATGAGGAGGGTGTTACATATGAAGTTACTTCAGGATTTTCGCGCTCAATTGCTAGCTGCAGAGCAAACCGCAGAAGCTCGATTGGTTCCTCATTCTACGATGTTCGTGACTTCAATTACAAGTTTCTTATTACAAGACCAGAGCGATATTATGTGTCAAGGCTTTTAATGGCTTGGTTCAAAGTTGTAAGCGAAGATTAAAATCCCTAAATCATACCCAAAGATTCAGAAACATTAACAACAATTTGAAACCCATTGATATGAATAACTTCATTTCTAGAGAGGTACCTCTTATTGCAGCTAAAGAGAATGAAAGAAAGAGAGAGATCAACAAGTTTTTTTTTTTTTTTTTGGGTCTGATTAAAGAAAGAGTTAGCAGAGAACGTGATGGGGAAGAGAAAAAAAATGCTTTGGTGAGAGAACCAACCCAAGAAAATAGAGAGAAGAGAGAGAAAAATATTTTAATTTATTTTTTATGTTAAATTAATTTTATTCATTGAAAATTGTGTCAAAAACATATTTCCGCGGATCCGCAATTTCGGAAATACTTTTGTATGAAGATGAAGGTCTATTATTTATTCATATCCATGAATTTATAGTATTCTATAGGCACGAAAAAGGTGAACAAACAAACTTACAAGTAAAACATATTTGAATATTTCTCTAAAAATGAATGAAAGTAAGCATACCGCCATTTGCAATCTCTCTCTACTAGTTGTTTGTTGTCGTTTTCTTTATAAGATTTGGTCCATGACATGTCCTATTAAATTTTCAATCTCACCCGCAATTTCAGTTGGAAGGGTGGGTAATGTTTCATTTTATGAATAAATTGACCTATTTAGGGTTAGCAATTTGTATGGTTCGCAACAAATCAAATTGCATAAACGTCATGTTTAAATTGTTAACATTCCAAAAAACGACCATATTCATATAATTTTTAACATTACAAAAGAATTCCAAATTCGAATTTTACAGTATTATGCTTTTTAATTGGCCGATGTTGACAGAGTGATTGAGAATGTCGCTTTTACATCAGCTGTGCTTCTCTCGGACGTTGAATATAATTCGTCCGCTGCTTTAATTGAACAAATAAAAAAAGTGGTTGGGATTGGGAGCTCCTTCCAGGGCCAAAGGGCTTTAAGCTTACCTCTCCCAAACTCACATTTTTCAGTCAATCTTTAAAAATTAGGTTGTTGTGACAGAAGAAGAGATTTTATGGAAAAATTAGTCATTTATACATTGCAAAGGACAAACTTTGGTCACTGATATTTTAAACATTTTGCTTGAATTTGTATGATCACTGCAACCAAAAGACCACCCTTTAGTCTATGACTCATTAGGAGTTTTTTGGTTTGTATTTTGCTTTCGGCAGCGATACGAATCTGTTGTTTTTGTTATTACGCGGTGGATCTATATTGTTAGTTTGAGTACAAGTATTTCGGGCTGCTGAATAAGGGGTTTGAATATATATATTTGTTGGTTTAGGCGTAATTCTGTCCATATCAATTCTTTGTCACTGGAGATGTTGTACTCATTTTGGCACTTTTGTGGCTCTCTATTATGTTCAATTTCTTCAATAAATACTATCGCTTTGTTTCCAAAAAAAGAAAAAGAAAAAAGACCGTCCTTTATCAATTTTAGCTCTTTTTTCTTCAAAATAATTAGGGCTTGTCCAATATAGGTCCCTACAATTTCTATTTCCTAGACATATATCCATCATTCTATAAATTTATGTGTAAAACTCAATTTCAAACTTAAATGACCAGTAGGATATAAGAGGTCGTAGTATTCCTATGTTTTTACATCCTTGCCATTAGACTTCATATTTTATTTATAATTTATTCCAAGCATTTCATTAACTGCCATAATTGTAATTAAAACTTCCTATTAATAGCATATCAATCACCCCATTTCTTTTGGTTGCCATTTCCTCTAACATATGGCCACTTAAAATTGCAAATAAAAAAAAATATGTAAATTACATATCCAATAATGTACATATGAAAAATATAAATATAAATATATACGTATAAAAATATAGGTATATTATTTACCAAAAAAAAATAACAAAAATAGGTCAATTACTTTGTAATTGAAATTTCCGTACATTTTTCATAAATTAAAAATAGGTACACAATAATTTATAGAAAATAGGTACGTTGTATAATTGAAATTTATGCACATTTTTTATAAATTAAAAATAGGTACATTATTTAGAAGGAAAAAATAAGTTCATTATACTAAGAGAAAAGTGCCTATGGATAGTGAGTCTAACCCGGGTAGTTCTAGTGCAAGTGCCTATGGTAGTTCTAGTTCTAGTGGACAATTATAACTTGTATTTTTTAGTGTTATTTTCTTCTTGACAAAATTTCGAGACTTTACACTATGACCCCATGGCGACACAATCCTGCGTCCGCCATTGGTTGTAGGTTTCTGCACTGTACAAACACCTATCTAACGAATCGCTGACGCCAAATAGAAGGTCTCTACCTATCAAGCAGGATAAGGCTTTTTCAACCAATTGGCAGTTTGTCATGGGATTGGGGTGGTGTCCTCTACATCCAGCTCATATATTCTTCTATTCATAAACCATGGATACCCTCTAATCACTAATCGTAGCCATTGCCTCTCTTCCCGCTGTTTGCAATCACAGAAGAATATAAAACACTCTTCAGTCTTCACAGACTTTATCGGGCTGCTGACAATAGTAAGGGCTGGAATCTCATCTTCGGGATAATTCAATTCGCCCTAACGGAGGTGTGTTTGTCTTTGTCTGTTTCATGGTGTTGGATTGGACTGATTGGGACTGAATATGAGATGTTGGATTGGACGCTCCGTATATGACCGTCCGTTTTTGGACAACTGTTGGGAGTTTCACACGCACGGCAGGCACAGAATGCAAGGCTGGTAGAGCAGCAAAGCGCGTGGGATTATAATATCTGGTCATTTTGTTGTGAATTTAATAATTTTATGTAGCAATTTTTTGCAAAACAAAAATTTGATGACATATGGAGAATCGTGATATGAAATCTTTTGAAGGATGCATTTTCAAATGTGAAAATAGAGAGCACAATATTGCTTACAACACGCAATCAAGCAGTAGCTTTGCCCCCGAATAGAAATGCTTTTCTCCACGAACTCCAGCCACTAAATGAGAAAAACAGCTGGGAACTATTTGAGATAGCGATATCTGGAAGGGCTGATATTAGTAAATTTTGGAATTTCACAAGGACAAGATGAAACATAATTTATGGACAAATTATGGAAAAATAATTTATTTGACTATTCCTAAAGGTTCTCTGGTGTGTGCGATACAAGTGGTTGATTTGTCTTTTTACTGGACATATAGACACACAGACAGATGGAAATTGCGTTGAAAACGAGGTGATTCACCTACTACAGCATTGCATCATAATTTAGAACAAGGCGGTCAGAAAACGACAAAGTTGATGAGTTCTTGTTGGGTTCAAATTGAACCAATTGGCTGCAAATTAGACCAATCTGCCAATTAGATCTGGTGGTTTAGTTGTTGTTTTCGTTTTGGAGAAGAGAGAGTAAGTAGTAGAGAGAATGGCTGAGGCAGTTGTTTCCTTTGTGCTTGAAAGTGTCAGAGACTTCACCATTCAGGAAGCCAAGTTCTTGTCTGGAGTCAGCCGTCAAGTTGAAGCTGCACAAACTGAGCTAGAATTCATGCAGGGATTCCTCAAAGACGCAGATGCAAGACAAGGACAAGATGAAACAGTCCGTATTTGGGTTGCCAAGATTAGAGATACTGCTTATGATTTGGAGGATGTCATCCAAACTTATGGCTTGGAAGTGGATTCCAAGAAGAAGAAAAGAGGCCTCAAGAATGTTCTCAAAAGATTTGCCTGCGTCTTCAAGGAAGGGGTTGATGTTCACAGAATTGGGGCAGAAATTGAGAATATCACTACCAAAATTTCGACGTTGAGATCAAGTTTGCAGAGTTACAACATAAGGGAAATAAGGGACAGGGACAACAGTGGTGGTGAATCTTTCTTGCAATTGCAAGAGAGGCTAAGGAGAAGTTACTCTCATGTTGTTGAACGTGATGTTGTTGGGTTAGAGTCCAACGTTGAAGAATTGGTTATGCATTTATTGAAAGATGAAAATCGTCATCAAGTTGTATCTGTTTGGGGTATGGGCGGTTTAGGGAAGACCACCCTTGCAAGACAACTTTATCATCACAAAAAAGTTAGCCAGCATTTTCATAGTCTTGCTTGGGTCTGTGTATCTCAACGTTTTCAAGTAAGAAATGTTTGGGAAGGAATTTTAATTAAACTCATTTCTGCTACCAAGGAACAAAAACAAGAAATTAAGGACATGACAGATGATGAAATAGCAAAGAAGCTTTTCCTTGTTCTACAAGAAATGAGATGTTTGGTGATACTTGATGACATATGGAGAATCGAGACATGGAATCTTTTGAAGGATGCATTTCCAAATGTGAAAACAGAGAGCACACTACTGCTTACTACACGCAATCAAGCAGTAGCTTTGCCCCCAAATAGAAATGCTTTTCTCCACGAACTCCAGGCACTAACTGAGAAAAAGAGCTGGGAACTATTTGAGAAGATAGTAATATCTGGAAGGGCTGATATCGGTATTTTCTCACCCTTACTTTTTTTTTTTTTTTTTTTTCCAGCTTCTTACTTATAAGCAAGCCACATAGAAACCATTACAATTTTTTAATATTACATGTAGCAATTTTTGGCAAAACAAAAAAAAAGAAGAACAAGTAGTAATTATAAACTGCCTTAGTGGTCACATATTTGTTAGGTAGCAGATAATTTATCTTTTGCAATTGTAAATAATAATCAGGACAATGCTAGACAATTCAAAATTTTCTCCCAAACTTCTCTTAAATCCAAACATATCCCGAACTTTTTTGTGTTGGTCCAGATTTAATTTTTGAATGTTCTCCATTTGGCATGTGTTATAAAATCCAAACTTAAAATAAGACAAAGGATATTAGTAAATTTTGGGATTTCACAATATAAATGTCTTAATTGGCATCCTTTGCTATTTCATCATCTGTCATGTCCTTAATTTCTTGTTTTTGTTCCTTGGCATGCTCATACTACAAGAATGTATTTGATTTTTTTTTCTCTCTCTTATTTTTAGATTTGGGAATGTGCACAAAAAAGAGAGAATTAGGAACGAATATGCTTCGACATTGTAAAGGTTTGCCATTAGCCATTATTGTGCTTGCCGGAGTTCTAGCAAGAAAAAACACTGATAGAGAGTGGGAGATAGTGCATGAGAATGTTCATGAATACATAAGGAAAGGGATAGGTCATGAAGAAGAATATGAAGGTGCATCATGGGTTTTGGCATTAAGTTATGATGACCTACCGTATTACTTAAAACCATGTTTTTTATATTTAGGTCATTATCCTGAAGACTCTGAATTTTTGGTGAGCCAATTAACTAAATTATGGGTGGCAGAAGGTCTTATCTCCTTGAGACAACAAAGACATGGTTCCGAGAAAACAATGGAGGATATAGCACGTGATTGGTTAAGTGAGTTGGTGGAAAGGTGTTTGGTTCAAGTGGGAACAAGTGGTTCAAATGGGACAATTAAAGGTTGTCGAATCCATGATCTTGTACGAGACATGTGTTTGTTAAAGGCAAAAGAGGAATGCTTTCTGCAAATTAACTATTCTTTGCCAGAAACTACTTCTTCTGTGGCAGCCGAGGCATCACAATTGGGGAAAATTCGAAGACTTGCAATTTATGTGGATGAGAAGGCAGATAGGTTGGTTTCTTCAAGAGATGAAACAAATGGGCTCGTAAGGTCTCTATTGTTCTTTGGCCAAAGAGAATGGATGCCAAAAAGTATAGAAGGATTACTATCTCCTTTGAAAGATTTCAAAGTGCTTAGAGTTTTGAAGGTTGAAGGTCTTTATCAAGTAGGAGTTGAGTTGCCAAGTGAAATTGGAAATATGGTACACTTAAGGTTTCTAAGCTTGAAGGATAGCTATATAAAAATGTTTCCTCCATCCCTAGGTAATTTAGTATGCTTGCAAACTCTTGATTTTCGTGTTCTGACTTTCGACATGGTCATCCCAAATGTGGTAATGAAGATGAAACAATTAAGACATTTATATTTACCCGTATTATACAGAGCAAATGGTAACTTGCAGCTGTCTACTCTTGGCCATCTACAAACCTTATATAACCTTTCAATTGAGTATTGTGATTTGAAAGATGTTGGTAGATTAACCAATCTTAGAAAACTGACAATAAGAGGGTCAAGCTCTTTGCAAAATCTGGAGGAAATCTTAAAATCTGCAGGCAGCACGCTTAACTGTATCCGGTCTCTAATTGTGTTTGTGAACTACTATTCTAATAGCAGTGAAGAGCAAGCTATGCAAATAGTATCAAGCTGTCGGGGTATATACAAATTGAAGTTGGATGGGCCAATGACAGAATTACCGAAAGAGCTCCACAACTATCCAAACCTCACCAAGTTACAATTGTGTAGGTGTGATCTCAAGGAGGACCAAATGGAAATACTAGAGAAGCTGCCAAACCTAACAATTTTGAAGCTAGCAAACGCTTTGGAAGAGGATACAAAGATACTGGTTTTTTTCTCCAAAGGAGGCTTTCCTTCTCTTGAATATCTTTCCTTTCATTATTTGCCCGAAATAACAGAGTGGAGTGTAGAGGAAGGAGCCATGCCTCGTCTCTGTCGATTAGAAATTGAATATTGCTTGGGATTGACTATACTTCCAGATGGGTTGAGATATCTTACTAATCTCAGGGAATTAACCATTAGAAAGATGTGTAGAGAACTCCACTATCGGATTGAGGAAGATGGAGAGGATTTCTATAAAATTCAACATGTACCTTCCCTTGTAATTGGAGAACCATACGAGGACGACTACAATCGAGGACGACAACTGTCTGGCTATTTTTAGCTATGATGCAATGATGGCAAGTTAATTTCTTTCTTTTAATTTTTAATTTTTTTAAAAAAATGGGTCCATTTTAAAGCGAAAATGGGTGGTTTGGTTTGTGTTTGTTAGTTATAAAATGAAACACCGAGAGCAGAGAAAAATATGGGGTCCCTGTTTAGCTATGTTTTCTTTGTCCATTTTGATTGATTATTTTGAGACAACTGATAATTCTAACGCATTCCAAATTCTAAATATCCTATAATAATATTTGATTTGTTTTCTTTGTGAGTCCTGACTCCCAAGCCTTATCATTTCCCAATTTCCAAATATCTTTGCTTTTTTTCTTTTTTTTTTGCACCATTACTTCTTTACATCTAGTTTTCCTTGTTTATTGACCATTTATAATTCCATCGCATTCTGAATTCAAGTTTTCGTAGTTTCATGGGAATAGTATATCCTTGTTCAAGGCTTGTTACGATACAGCACCATTGGATTCTTTTTTTTAATAAAGTCAAGTAAACTGCTGAATTTGTGTTATGGTAGCTAGCTGCAAGAAGGAAGGAACCGAGTATGTCGAAGCTCTGTAGCAGAGTGAGCACGTGCGAAGCTGAACTTACATGAAGAAGAAAGAAATCCTCTGTGAAAATCAAGAGGAACAAAGATGTGGTCAAGTAATTCAAAGTTCGTTATAAGTCTGAGTCTAATGGTTGTCGAACAGTACATTTATATTACACAACTCAAATTATGAATATTTGAGTCCTTGATGAAACCTTGTATTTGTATTCCTCTTTCATGTCTATTTTCAATTATGAATATTTGATCCCGTGGGCATCATGCCTTTGTTTATTTCACGGTCAGCATTCCCAAATTGGTCCCATGTGCCATATGATATGATTTTACAAAATCCTTGCCAGCTGCAGGTGGGAAAATTTTAAAAAAATGATTGGTAGATTCGTTCGACATGTAATTACTGCACAAGAGATTTTAGAGATCTTTTTCTTTTTCTATTCAGAAACAATTGCCGTCTGTGAAATTTGAGTTCCAAGGACTTCCAACAAAGTAAAGATTGCATGCCACTAAGTCAAATTGTTATTAGCAAGGGACATTAGAGATTAAAAAAAAGGTTGTACAAAATGATGTGACAATTTTTGTCGATGGTTATACGTATCATGTCATTTTCTCATGTTCTCTAACAAAAGAAGATACTCTTGGTTTTATGGAAAAGAAAGTAGGAGGCTAGAGTTCGCCTGAGTCTCATGTTAGGTTCATTTTTATCCATGATTTATCATGTCATTCACTTAATGTTTTGAGTTAGTGCTTGACATTTTATAGCATTTTGCTTCCATTTTTCTTGTTTTTATAAATTTTACTTTGGTTGGAATAAATGTGAGCTAAAAGTGCATTATTGAATATGAATTCTGGTTTTGCTCATTTTCATAGGTCAACTTATTGACCAAGGATCACCATGCTCCAGTGCTCGAATGAGGTGAAGCTCTTCATTAAACTTGTTCTAATGGATGTTAATACAACATATCTGAATTTGAGCTCGATTGAATAAGTATAGCCTAGTCAACATATCCAGCATGATCCTAACTTTGGAATTATGGTTTGGACTACCTTTACCTCCATTGGATGTCACCCTCCCTTTTCTACTTATTACCACACCACTTGGTAACAATATTTTACCTCGGTAAGCTGGGATCTCATTCTAGCTAGTTGGATCCCTCTTAAGGTATAAAATTCAAAGAAATGATGAAATGGGGACATTAGCCTACCTAGCTTTAGGAAAAAAGGAAGTATCCTATGGATTGGTGAGTTGGCAAGGGAGAGAGGGCAGCTAGGGGGACGAAATCAACTGATCGTTCGAGACACTGTGAGGAGTTTTCTGAAAAGCAAGGAGTAGCCAAGCAAAACAGCAATACCCAAGAGAAGATGAAGGAGGCATTCCACCATTGAAGGCTTTTGTGCTTTCACCTTCACAAAATCTGTAAACTCTTTCTAGTTATATTTAGAATTTGTGTTTGTAATAAGTATGAAGAACTAAACCCCATAGCTAGGGCTTAGGTTAAAGCCCTAAACATGAATACTCTATTGTTTTGATGCTTGAGTTTATGGATCTCTAGATGTTGTTGATGAATTCCTCTTCACTAAATTAATTTGTTCTTGATGTATGTTTTCTTTGATTGATCACCCTTGATAGCATGCTTATTGAGATTGTTGAGATTATATGTATCTTCATGTTTTCCTAAGCAACTAATTGATGGAGTAAAAATAATTCATGTGAATTGGTTTCTTGAATGTCTAATGTAAATATCATAGGGTTTTGTGATGCTCATATTCTCTTCAAACTTAATGGGTTTCTTTATATTATTAAATCGAAGTACTAAACACACCTGCATTGATTGTGTAGGAAACAGAAGTATTGTAGCACTAAACACGCATTTTACTTATCTTAGAGAGAATTAATGCGTCTTGAGCCACTAAACCTAGTCTTGATTGTGAAAATCTTCATCAATGTATCTAGAATTCATAACTTGAGTATCTATAAACATGAGTAGGATTATTTAAGGTGGATTCCAAAAACCCTAGTGTTTGTCACCATATTAAGTTACACTTTGATATTCACATGCATTAATCTTGTTAAAATTAGAGTTCGATTACATTTAAGCTTTAGAATTAGGTCACTTGAATCAAAAACACCCCCTCCCCTTTTTTGTTTGTGTTTGTTGTTTAAAACTTTGAATGTTCTTTTTATTGCATTCTGTACAATTCTGTAACTGCTTTTGACATTTGGTCTGAGTTTGTTCTTCATTTTTCTGTGTTGAATCCAACCATGTAAAGAACGTAAAATTTGAATTAACGGTTTGAAAGTTACAAGTCAAAAAAGGGGATAGAAGTCAAAACTAGAAAACACATAAAGTTCATAAATTCTTCTTTGACCTAAAAGTGCTACAGTACCACGGGTGATAAAGAAGCGATACAATGACGATACATAAGTGATACATGAGTGATACAAAATGATAATTGTGTTTTACCTTTGGTTTCTTGTTTTGTTTCATTTCTTTTACTTTTCTTTACTCATTTCTAGTATTTGATTTGTATTTTACCTTTGTGTTGTGGTAAATAAGTGTTCTTTACGTACTCAAACTAGACCTTTGTATAAGCCTCCAATTCCTCGTGGGAACGATCCTGTATTTACAAATTTATACTCAAATAAATTCATACACTTCCGGGGTATTTTTAATTAGATAAGAAGCACATTAATTTGTGCCAATTATTAATACAACATCTCATCACCAATTTAGAGTTAGCATATTTCTGAAAATTTTGTGCCACACAAAGGAGAATATCAATCAGGCTTTTTATTTTTCTTTCTTTATTTTCGTGGCTTAAGCTACCAGTACCTTGTGCACTTGGACAACGAAGGAAAGGAGGCTGTTAGATGGTACTTGTTCTACCAAGTTTTACATCAAGCACCTCATAGCTCTGGAACTCCTACTATTCTTCTGTTTCCGTTTTCGTTATGTGATAGGAGCTCAGCACCGATCGTATATACATATGTGATTTGTAAAACAAAAGTTATATTACAACATACTGACTGGTTTTTGCAAAGTTCAGCACCATTTAACATGATGCAATAACTTCAGCTCTGTCACAGAAACTACAATTGAAGAAAACAAGGCCCATTTATCCTGGATCACATTCTTAAAGATATAGCAAGAGCATCACAGAAAACATACTTTGAAAAGAAGTAAAAGAAACACAAGCACTCACATCATCTTTAAGGGAATCTCCAACCATCATTATTTCACTAGGTTTAACTTCCCAAGCTGAACATATATGCAGTAGTGGAGCTGGATCCGGTTTGTAAGGTCGAAATTCCCTGCTCAGAGCTGGAGAAAATGTCAACTGCAGCAACCATAACACAGAAAATAAGATATCAAAGTCCACTACTGAGTAAAAAGAACGTTAACAAAGGAGATGAGCCTCAAGATGGGTTGATTCAGTCAAGAAAGAAAGAAGGGATGGGGTTGATTCAGCAAGAGCAGAAAGTATAAGTTGGCTATATGAGGAACCATATTTTAGTTGTCCAAAAAGTTTTAATTGTCCAAAACGTACGCATGAATCATGATGAGTACTGTATCAAAAATAACAAAAAGTGAAGAAAGAGGGAGAGGGGATGGCAAGAAAATGGGAATCTAAAGACATTTGAAGGGAGAAATTCCCTGTGATTTAATCTAAAGACATTAATAACCCACTTTTTATGAGAAATAGACAATTTGTTGAAGAAAATGCAAGAAACTGGGAGATTCTTTCATACGGAATCCAAAAACACGTCTCTCATATTTTTCTAAAGACATCTTAAGTAGGCATCATGAGTATGAGCACAAACAATTTGAATTCTCCTCAGGGGGAGACTTGAACAAGATCATATTAGGGATTAACAAAAACTCCTTTTGCAATTTAACAAAAACTATAACTAATTCATAGCGCTATGTTTGTAATGTTCACCCTATTTTTCATTTCTTCATTCAAGAAGACGAGAGCAAACCCCAGGGGAAAGTGCCCCTCATGTAAGCAAAAGTCTCATTCTTTTGAGTACCCTTTACTCAAGACGAGACCATTATTGATTTCTAAGTTTTCCTTTGACTTTTTGTTGTTTTTTTAAAGAAAATCTTTCACTGAACAAAGCATACCAAAATATATAAAGTAAGGTACACACTGGTACCACTGCATGCACATGCTCAGAATTGCTGAAGGTGGAGTAAGATTATAATTAGTCTACTCCCATTCAGTTGCGAGATATGCAAAATGACTGAAATCAGCATGAAAATGTTTCTGAGATGCCTAACAATTCAGATGTTTCTGAGATACCTATCTTTAATTCTTTTGGTTCCTGAGAATATAAATCAAATAATCTAAAAGAAGAATGATTTTTCAACTCAAAATTTCACTCATGGCCTCAAAAGAAGAAGGATCATACATTCATTCGCAAGAGAATCAGGAAACTTTATTCATTTGTAAAACTGACATCAGAAAGAATTTGTACGTCAGTGCTTCAGCCAAAAAGAATGTCTTAAGAAAATTGACATCTGGAAACTATGATCAAGAATGGAACAACCTAAGAATGAGACCAGTGTGACTGAATTGGGTATGAAAAATCCAAACCCAAGAATGATTGGATAACTGGGAAATGGATATCTACCTGAGCTTGTAGTAACACTCTCCTCCACTGAGAAGGAACTGATAGGCTTTGTCACAGTGACATCTGAGAATACAGAGTGAGTGATTGGTTTGATTGATCGGTTAGAAAGCCACGAAAAATGGAAGAGAAATCAAATTTTCTATCTTGATGTTAGATTATTAAGACCCAAGAAATCATATTTCTATCTGTTTTTTCATTTTCTTTGTGATCTTGTTTGTGGGAAACCCAGTATTCTTGAAAACTAAACAGAGAACCCAATACCTTGATCAGTGGCATCAACAGCCTGTACTTGTGCGTCTTCTTCCACTGCCTGCTGTTGCTCATCTTCATCTTCTTCCATCAAGTCCTCTGCACGCATCAGTTGCTGGCACCAATGGCTCATCTCTCTGAGGCGATCCTTCATCCTCCTCAGCCTCTGCAACAACTGTTTTCCCCAAACCCTTTTCAATGACAACTCAAAAATAAAACAATGAAGAATCGAGCTTTCTCACAGATTACAACATAAAACTCCCCAAAACCCATATCAGCAGAAACCCCAAAAAGAAAGAAAGACTCAAGCTTTTCACAGATTAGAACATTAGAGAACGAAATTCAAGAAAATTTTCCGACCTTGGAATTGGGAGTGTCAATGTCGGTGCCCAGGTCTTGGGAGGAGGTAGAGAAGCGTGAGGAGGCCTTGGAAGGAGAGGGATTGATGTCAGAGACGGAGCGGCGGAAGGTGTGAGGAGGAGGCAGGGGAGGCAGTGCATGAGTCGGGGAATGGGATGGAGTCTTGGGGCAGTGGTGGCGATCAGGAGAGTACGGAGGAGTGAAATTGGGCAGAGAACCGCCACAGCGAGAAGCAGAGGAAAGAGAAGGATCAAAGAATGATGGGTTGGAGGCGGTGGCAGAAGGAGGGTTGCAAGGATCGGACATGCAGCGGCGAAGAAGAGGGAGAGAGATCTTGTGGTAGCCATTGCAAGGGAGAGAAGGGTCTGGTTCTGGGTTAGGGTTGCTGGGCAAGGAAGATGGTGGATGGTTTTGGTGGTGGTGGTGGTTCATGGCGTTTGGTTTCTCTGAATCTTGGTTTCTAGGAAGCTCAGGGATTTGGAATTTGATTTGCAAGTTGCACAGGAAAATGGAGGGAGTTTGTTTATATAAAGAGGAAGAAACAAGCCGTTACATTTGGCGCCACATAAAAAAGACACCACCTTCAGTGAGGAAAACGACAACAATGGCAACAAGCCCGTCTAGCTCAGTTGGTAGAGCGCAAGGCTCTTAACCTTGTGGTCGTGGGTTCGAGCCCCACGGTGGGCGTTTGATTTTTATTTTTTATTTTTACCTAGTTCTTTTCTAGATAATGCGTACAGACTACTAATAAGGCTTCTTCTCCATTGAATGTGAAGATTGTCCGCACAGGTTTGAGGATCAAAATGTGCTTCCAATAGCGAGTGAACTTCCATTAGGGAAGACACCTTGAAATCTGGTTTGAAATCAACGTTGGCGTATTCTGGAGAGTCATACCTCCCACTTTCATCAAGCAAGCATAAAGAGGCCCTGTTATCCTTATTAGCGTATATGATTGACAGATGTTGCTTGGAATGTTGGATTCCTTCTCCATATTTATTGCCCAAACAAAAACACATAATAACTAAACCACCGAATTGTAATGTGTTCTTAAGACAAAAGAAAATAATATATGAATAACTCTTTACGTGCAATCCTTTTCTACACCAATGACTTGGTGGATTTCAATATCCTTGTTCTAATTCGATCTATCAGATGCTTGACTACCTTATCTTAGAGATGAAGGGTTTTGAACATCCAGCATAGATCCTTTTTATATTGGGGCGGTACTTTGCAGACCCTTTAGTGATCTGGTGTGTGCGATACAAGTGGTTGCACAAATATATATAATTGATGAGGAAGGTGGTCAGCGAACGCCAATGTTGACTATTATTATTATTTTTTTAATTTTTAGAGATGTTGGGACGATTATTTATTAGTTTACTGGACATAGACAGATAGAAATTGCTAAATCAATCTAAAACTAATTTTGGTTTACCTACTACAGCTTGCATTACATTATATTTTAAAACAAGGTGGTCAGAAAACGACAAAGTTGATGAGTTCTTGTTGGCTGCAAATTAGATCTGGAGTTTTAGTTGTTGTTTTCGTTTTGGCGAAGAGAGAGTAAGTGGTAGAGAGAATGGCTGAGGCAGTTGTTTCCTTTGTGCTCGAAAGTGTCAGAGACTTCACCATTCAGGAAGCCAAGTTCTTGTCTGGAGTCATCCATCAAGTTGAGGTCGCACAAACTGAGCTACAATTGATGCAGGGCTTCCTCAAAGATGCAGATGCAAGCCAAGGACGAGATGAAACAGTCCGTATTTGGGTTGCCAAGATTAGAGATGCTGCTTATGATTTGGAGGATGTCATCCAAACTTATGGCTTGAAAGTGGTTTCCAAGAAGAAAAGAGCTGTGAAGAATGTTTTGAGAAGATTTGCCTGCATCTTCAAGGAAGGGGTTGATGTTCACAGGATTGGGAAAGAAATTGAGAATATCACCACCAAAATTTCTGATTTGAGGTCGAATTTGCAGAAGTATAACATAAAGGAAATAATAAGGGACAGAGACAGTAATGACGGTGAATCTTCCTTGCAATTGCATCAGAGGTTAAGGCAAAGTTATTCTCATGCTGTTGAACGTGATGTTGTTGGGTTAGAGTCCAACGTTGAAGAATTGGTTATGCATTTAGTGAAAGATAAAAATCGTCATCAAGTTGTATCTATTTGGGGTATGGGCGGTTTAGGGAAGACCACCCTTGCAAGAAAGGTTTATCATCACAAAAAAGTAAGGCAGCATTTTCGTAGTTTTGCTTGGGTCTGTGTATCTCAACGGTATCAAGTAAGAAATGTTTGGGAGGGAATTTTAATTGAACTCATTTCCGCTACCAAGGAACAAAGACAAGAAGTTAAGGACATGAGAGATGATGAAATAGCAACGAAGCTTTTCCGTGTTTTACAAGAAATGAAATGTTTGGTGATCCTTGATGACATATGGAGAATCGAGACATGGAATCTTTTGAAGGCTGCATTTCCAATTGTGGAAACACAGAGCACAATATTACTTACTACACGCAATCAAGCAGTAGCCACGCTCCCAAATAGAAATGCTTTTCTCCACAAACTCCAGCCACTGAATGAGAATGATAGTTGGAAACTACTTGAGAAGAAAGCAATATCTGAAAAGGCTGATATCGGTATTTTCTCACCCTTACTTATATAGCAAGCCACATAGAAACCATTACATTGCATATGACACAACTTATGTAGTGTTTTTTCTTTTTTCCAGTCATTGTTGGGATTTTACAATTTTTTAATATTGTCGAACAATGTAGCAATTCTTTGCAAAAATAATAAAATAGAAAAGAACATGTAGCAATTTTATTAACTGCCTTACTTGGTCACACATTTGTTAGGTAGCAAGATGGAAATTTATCTTATGCAATTGCAAACAATAATGAGGACAATGCTAGAAAATTCAAAATTTTCTCCACCTTCTCTTCAATCCAACGAAATCCCACACATATTTTGTGTTGGTCCAGATTTAATGTTTGAATTTTTTTCATTTGGTATGTATTAAAAAAATCCAAACTTATAATAAGACAAAGGATATTAGTAAATTTCGGGATTTCACAATTTTAATTTTTAACCATTCGAGCAAAGGATATGCACGCCAATTGCTCATACTACAAGTACGTATTTGATTTTATTTCTTTCTTATTTTTCAGATTTGGGAATTTTCACAAAGAAGAGAGAATTAGGGATGAAGATGCTCCAACATTGTAAAGGTTTGCCATTAGCTATCATTGTGCTTGCCGGAGTTCTAGCCAGAAGAAACACCGTTAGAGAATGGAAGAGAGTGTATGAGAATGTTCATGAATACATAAGCAAAGGCATGGGTCATGAAGAAGAATATGAAGGTGTATCACAAGTGTTGGCATTGAGTTATGATGACCTACCATATTACTTAAAACCATGTTTTTTATATTTAGGTCATTATCGTGAAGACTCTGAGTTTCGGGTGAGCGAATTGACTAAGTTATGGGTGGCAGAAGGTCTTATCTCTTTGAGACGAAAAAGACATGGTTTGGGGGACACAATGGAGGATATAGCACGTGATTGTTTAAGTGAGTTGGTGGAAAGGTGTTTGGTTCAAATGGGAACAAGTGGTTCAACTGGGACAATTAAAGGTTGCCGAATCCATGATCTTGTACGAGACATGTGTTTGTTAAAGGCGAATGAGGAATGCTTTCTCCAAATTAACTATTCTTTGCAAGAAACTGAGGCAGCTAATCCATTTACTTCTTCTGTGGCAGCCAAGGCAGCACAATTGGGGAAAATTCGAAGACTTGGAATTTACTTGGATGAGAACACAGATAGGTTGGTTTCTTCAAGAGATGAAACAAATGGTCACGTAAGGTCTCTATTATTCTTTGGCCTAAGAGAATGGATTCCAAAAAGTGAAAAAGGATCACTATCTCCGTTGAAGGATTTCAAGGTGCTTAGAGTTTTGAAGGTTGAAGGTCTTTATAAAGTAGAAGTAGACTTGCCAAGTGAAATTGGAAATATGGTACACTTAAGGTTTCTAAGTGTGAGGGGGAGCAAAATAGAAACGTTTCCGCCATCCCTAGGTAATTTAGTATGCTTGCAGACTCTTGATTTTCGTGTTCTATATCCCAACATGGTCATCCCAAATGTGATAATGAAGATGAAACAATTAATAGATTTATATTTACCCATGATTTACGAAGCAAATGGTAAGCTGGAGCTGTCTACTCTTGGCCATCTACAGACCTTAGATAGCCTTTCAACTGGGTATTGTGATATGAAAGATGTTAGTAGATTAACCAATCTTAGAAAACTGAGAATAAGAGTGTCAAGCTCTTTGCAAAATCTGGAGGAAATCTTAAAATTTACAAGCAGCACGCTTAACCGTATCCGATCTCTAATTGTGTTTGTGGACAACAATAGCGGTGAAGAGCAAGCTATGCAAATAGTATCAAGCTGTCGGGGTATATACAAATTGAGGTTGGAAGGGCCAATCGCAAAATTACCGGAAGAGCTCCACAACTATCCAAACCTCACCAAGTTACAATTGATTGAATGTGGTCTCGATAAGGACCAAATGGGAATACTAGAAAAGCTGCCAAACCTAACAACTCTGCACCTTTTAATGGACGCTTTCCACAAGAGCACAAAGATACTGATTTTCTCAAAAGGAGGCTTTCCTTCTCTTAAATTTCTTGATGTTATTGGCATGGACGAAATAACAAAGTGGAGAGTAGAGGAAGGAGCCATGCCTCGTCTCTGTCGATTGAAAATTGAATATTGCGGGGGATTGACTACACTTCCAAATGGGCTGAGATATCTTACTAATCTCCAGGAATTAACCATTAGAAGGATGCCTAGAGAACTCCACCATCGGATTGAGGAAGATGGAGAGGATTTCTATAAAATTCGACATGTACCTTCCCTTGTAATTGGAGAACCAGACGACTTATAACCACCACTGATGCTGTGATGGCAAGGTAATTTCTTTATTTTAAATTTTAAATTTTAAAGCTAAATGGGTGCATTTTAAAGCGAAATGAATGGTTTGGTTTGTGTTTATTAGTTATAAAATGAAGCATCGAGAGAATATTAAACTAGAAAAGCCAAGAGAATATGGGCTCCCTTGTTTAGCTATGTTTTCTTTCTCCATTTTTAGCCAGCTTTTTTTTTTTTTTGGGCAAGTCAAGTAAACTGCTGGATGTGTGTTATGGTAGCGAGCTGCAGGTAGGAAGGAAGTGAGTATGTCGAAGCTCTGCAGCAGAGTGAGCACGTGCGAAGCTGAACTTACCTGGAGAAGAAAGAAATGCTCTGTGAAAATCAAGAGGAGCAAAGATGTGGTCAAGTAATTCAAAGTTCGTTATAAGTTTTTGGGTCTAGTGGTTGTCCAAAAGTACATTTATATTACACAACTGAAATGATTGTATTATATTAAAATTTCCTTGATGAAACCTTGTATTTGTATTCCTTTTTCGTGTCTGTTGTCAATTATGAATATTTGAGCTTGTGAGCATCATGCCTTTGTTTATTTCACTGTTAGAGCATCTC